CTATTGGCTCGTAATGACTCCTAATGCAGGAGCAAAGGGGGTGAGTTTACTAAAAAGCTCCCAGTGGGCGCCAATCACCCTGGTAGACCATCTAGTAGACCATCTCTCTTCTCCCTGGTACTGTGGGTGTTAGGATCTCAACTTCTGGGTGGGAAATATGGCAGAGACTATCAATTGCTCCCCAGTATTCATTCTCCCCTACTTCCCTAGCAACAGAATTTATAGTTGGGCACATGATTGTTAAACAGATGCTTCCCCTCCTCCTTCACAGTTAGTTGTGATCATGTGATTAACTTCTGTGTAAGTGGTGAGTATAATTTAGGTTATGCTAGTTCCTGCCCCCTTTCCTCCTTCCTTCCAGATGGAATGCAAACACGGAAGAAAGGAGCTTGAGCAACTATCTTACCTGCCAAGTGTTGAAATGAAGGTAGCAGAACAGCAATGAAGGGAGAATCTGGGTCACTGGAGATTAGAAAGCCATCATTCCATCCTTGAGCAACCTACCTTAGTAAAACCTCAACTTCTATCTCATTTAATCCACTATTATTCTGGTTTCTGTTCTTGAATTAGAATGGATATCCTAACAAACCGATGGGGCTCCTTCTTGGTGAAGTGAAATGACTTGTCTCAGAACACACATGTGCTAATCTAGGTCATTCTGTCTCCACCGACTTCCCACCCCAGCTTATGGGGAACTCTACTCCAGTCTTGAGCCAAGACTGGTGAACTAGGAGAATACAGGACAAAGGTGTCACCTGGAGCTGGGAGTTGAGGTCATCTTTCTGTCCCATAAGATCCTCATACTCAGCCTGTCTTTGTTGTAACTCAGTTGCCAGCCCAGTGGTCTGTTCTCGGAGCATGTTCAATTCTTGGGTCTTTGCTGTTTGTATCTGGAGAAAATGGTAGTGTTGGGAAGTGCAGTGAAAGGCATAGGGCAGGAGCCTCCCCAATCCAGGGAGATAGGGAGAGAAGTGGGAAGACAGCCAGGAAGGGAGAGAAAATTTCAAAGAGAAAAACAATGAAGGCAATGGATAGATGCGATATATATCCATACAGTGGACTATTTATAGTGATAAAAGAACAACTCTGTGCTACATGTGGATAAATCACACAGAAAGAAGGCAAAAGAATGCCTGATTCCATTTATATGAAGTTTGAGAATTAAAGGAATCTGTTGCTAAAGGTCAGAACAATGGTTACTTCTGGGGGAAGTACTGACTGGGAAAGGGAAAAAGGGGACCTTCTGTGGTACTGAAAAACCACCCTGCCTCAACATGAACTAGAAGCAGAGGGAGAGAAGGGAACTGAGGAGGGGTTGGTAAGGGCTCCCAGATGTCTTGTACCTGCTCCAGGGCAGCCAGGCTAGTCCGCAAGGCATTGTTCTCAGCCAAAAGCCCTTCCACCTGTTCCTGCGCATCTGCACTCTGGATGGACACCTGGCCCCACCCCCACGACAGGTGAGAGTAGGTCCAGAACAGGGGACAGGACCTACCCAGAGCCAAGAAAGAAAGGAAAGGGAAAGGGAAAGGGAGACAGAGACAGGTGTGCACGCACATGCACACATGCACACACACACACGCACATGCCAGAACTTGGGGAAGCAGGACCCCTGGGACCTTGCTTGCCTGTAGTCCCCACTCAGGCTACCCCACCTTCATCTTCGGCTCCCTGAACCCACCCAGCACAATGTACCTGATCCTGTAGGGCCCGCAAAGCTGCTGCATGCTCCAGGCGTTCCCCCTGCCGCTGATCTCTCAATTCTGCCAGGCTCTGTGGGAACCAGGTGTCAAGGGAGCCCATTCCAGGCCTCAGCCTCCATTCAAGTACATATAACCCCTCTGTGGCCACCAAACAGCATTTTCCTAGCACCTATGGGTGTCACCCAACCATCAGAGACCTAAAGTTCATCAGACTCCAGGTCATTATCCCCAGGGGCTTCAGACACATCCAGCCTCTCTATCCCAGCCTTCAAGCATCTCAGACACACTTTGATTCCTGGACCTAGCCCCTAGGAGGTTCAACTCGACCCCATCTATAACACTTCTCACACTCACCCAGATTTCATTTTAGGAGCCCCCAAGATTTTTGAACACACTCAACCCCCATGGATCTGCTCAAGCTCATTGTCCCAGACCCTAGAGGTCTCAAATTCATAATACCTCCTAGTTTCTAGCTCCGGATGAAGCTAATACCCCTGCTCTGCAACCTGTCATTCTGGTCCCAGTCTCTCGGGATCTTTAGATGTACCTAACTAGCAGTTCCTGCAGGTCTCAGCTGTCCACAGACTCCTGTCCCAGCCCCCATGTTCCCAGCTTCTAGGGGCCTTAGACCCACAAGCTACCAAATCCTCCATTCCATGAGACCTCAGAGTAATTCCTTCCAGGAAGAAACTCAGAGGCTTTAAAGTCATCCAGCCCTGGGAGCCAGCAGATTGCATAGTGGTTACGTTGCTGGATTCCCACATGGCCAATAGCGGCTCGAGTCCTAGACCCAGTGGCTTGAAACTCATTCTGGGTGCATTTGTGTGCATGCCCAAGATCCCAAGAGAATGGAGAAGGGATTGTGACAAGGGCTCCCAGGTGTCTTGTACCTGCTCCAGGGCAGCCAGGCTAGTTGGCAAGGCATTATTCTTAGCTAAAAGCCAATCACCCCCAGGGGGAGTGATTTCTCACTTTCCCTCTCACTGTCTCTATATCTCTGTATCTTTCTTTCTCTCTCTCACACACACACAAGCACATGCACCCTAAGGCAAAATACTAAAAAAAAAAAAAAAAGTCATCCATCCCTTAATCTTCAGGAGGCTCAGACACACCAAAACTTCTGCTCCAGCTCTGGAGGTCTCAGACTGACCAGCTTTTTGTCCATAGTCCCCAGAGTACCCAGGAACACCCAGTCCACATGATCTCACATCCTAGGGGGTCTCAGGCCCAAACCAGACTCTGGTTCCTGAAGGTCTCAAAGTACTCAGCCTCCAGCCCCAGCTGACTCACCCTTGAAAGACTTGTATCTACCCAGGTCCTATGTCTTCAGATCCCCAGGAGTCTCAAATTAATTGACATTCCTATCCCTAAAGGTCTCAAAGTCACCTAGCTTCTAGGGAGTTCCAACTCATCCCAATTCCTGGTTCCAGTCCCCAGTGACTACAGACTTATCCAGATTCCTGTCTTCAACCTCCAGGGGTTTCAGATTCATACACACTTATAGCATATCCAACCCAGCAGGTCCTCAGCGCCCCCCATGATCTTCAATTTATGCAGACTCCTACCTCAACTGCTAGGGCTCTTAGGGCTCTCTGGCTCCCATTCTCCTAGTTCCTGGGGGAGACTAGGGCCCATCCAGTCCTTATATTTCCAACACAGGATATCTCAGGCTCCCCAAGCAGCCTCCATGGATCTAAGACCTCCCCAGACTCCCAGCCCAGAGATCTTCGAACCCAACAACCCATCACCTGATTGGCAGCCTCAAGTTCCTGCTGCAACTTCTGGGTTCGAGCCAACTGGGCTTTGAGATCAGCTTCTTTCCGTTGTTGTAATTCCTCGATCTTGTTTCTGGGAGTGATGAGGACAGGGTACATTGGGCATGGCTTAAGGACCAGTTTCCTGGCTCTGCCCTGTGGTCTTCAGTTAATTCTGCCAAGTACTGTCCCTGTTGTCCACCAAGGTCCCCAACCCTGGCAATTACCTGCTGTCATTAAACAGCGTCTCCTTCTCTGTCTGCAGACGGCAAAAACTGGGCACAGAAAAACAGATGTTGATGAGTCAGTTCCACAAGTCAGTCCTTGCCTAGTCCCCCAAACCCCTGGAAAAATAGACATGTACCTTTCTTGTTTCTTTTTCAGTTTCTCGGAGAGCTGGGTGGGGGGTAAGGGGTATAGATAAGTGATAACAATGACAATAATATTAAGAAAGACAAAAATAATATTCATGGATACTCTTTACTAAGTTTTTCTTGGCAGCCAGGATTTACTTGTGTTATCTCATAGAATCCTCAAAACAGCTACTGGTTTCACAAACAGAGAAACTGAGTCTCAGAAGGGTTAAGTACTCCAGTTGTCCAAATGGTCGGCAGCAACATCAGTTCCATTTAAATCCCTTGGGTGCCAAAGTCTGACATGTTTGCCTCCAAAACAGGAGCCAATAGCCAATGGCCACATCATAGCATGAACAGGCTGGGTGGCCTGGAAAGCAGGATCACGGCTGCCTCACCACTGGATCTTGAGATCCAAAGATAAGAGCCAGGAGCTCAGATGAGTGAATGGATAAATGGGTAAAGTTGGGAGGAGATGGATGGGGCCTGCCACACACAAGATATAGTGGGGGACCAGCAGTTAGAGTAATGGCTATGTCGCTGGACACCCATGTGGTCGACTGCGGTTCGTGTCCCGGACCTGGTGACTTAAAACTCACACCAGGCATGTGTGCGTGTGTGCCCAAGATCCCAAGAGGAGAAGGGATTGTGACGTGGCCATCCCCCTGAGGGGTGATTTCTCGCTTTCTCTCTCTCTGTCTGGCAAGCGTATGCGCCCTATAGCAAAAAACTCTCCCAAAAGAAAAAAAAAAAAGATACAGTGGGACCGCATTAGCTCACTATAATTTACCTGCAAGCAACGCTGAGACTTAAGTGTAAGTATTTCCACTTCATGCATGATGACAGTGAGGCTTTTTTTTTTTTTTTGGCTATAAGGTACATGTGTTCATCAGACACAGAGAGGGAGAGTGAGGAAGCACCCACCCCATCCTGAGGTTGGGGGGTATGTGTAATGATCCTGCAATCCCTTCTCTTCCATTATCCTCTTTGGATTGGGGGCATGTACATACACATGGACCCAGTATGTTTGTGAAGCTGCTGAGTTTGGGACTCAAACTGCACAGTCGTCTATGTGGAATCCAGTTGTTTTAACCACCATGCCACTTGACTAGCCCAACTGAGGCTTTGAGGGGGTAAAATACCCCTTTTGCCATGGCAGGGAAGAAGTGAAATGGGGCAAAGCTCATGGAAAGCTCTGGCAGCCCCACCTTAGCAAGTTCCTCCTGTAGCCTGGATGTTTCTGCCTGCTTTGAACTCTGCAGGGAAGAATGAAGAATGGGGTTACTGTTAACAAGGATGGAGGATGGCTTCTGCTTTCCCCTGCCCTCCTGCCTCCCTCACCCTGATCAGCCTACAAAAGGTTAATGTCACAGACATCTCCATTGGATGTAGGCAGAGCTAGGGCATCTGCCTGCCTCCCACATTCCAGTCCCAAAAGACCCAGATTCACCTCCAAGCCTTGCAGCTGCTCCCAAAGCAATCTCTTTTCTTCTTTCTCCATTTCCCATTTAAGCTCCACCTCTGCCAAAGGCATGGGGGCTGAGATGGTGGGCGCTGGGCCCCCTGGAGGGTCCCCTTGCCCATCACTAACTGCTGAGGGTCTTCTGGCATCTTTTCCATATCGCTCCTGCAGGGCTGGTGGCAAGAACAGGAACATATAATGGATGAAGTGGTCTCTGAAGTCCCTTGCCATGTCTCCATTGGAGGAAGAATCAGACTTCAACATGTCATGTCACAGAGACCCTGCCCCAAATGACCACAAGCTTATAAAGTGAAGGTTCGGCCCTATCCATGCCTCTCACAATTTTTTTTTTTTGAGAGCATTTTGCCAGAGGGCACATGTACTCACTGGAGGGGGGGGGGAGATAATCACACTGTAACCCCTTCTCTTCTCAGGATTTTAGGCATGCATGCAAATTCACCCAGCTTGAGTTTCAGGCTGCTGGGTCCAGGACTCAAACCATGGTCAGTCATGTGGAAGTCCAGCACTTTAACCACTATGCCACCTCTTTGCCCTATCACACAAAACTTTTCTTTTTGTTTGAGAGGCTTTTGCTGTAGGGCATGTGCGCTCACCAGAAAGACAGAGACAGAGAGACAGAAAGCCAGAAATCACTCCCCCCAGGGGCATGGACATGCCACAATCCCTTCTCCTCCATTCTCCTCTTGGGATCCTGGGCACACACACACATGTGTCCAGCGTGAGTCTAAGCTACTGAGTCCAGGACTTGAACTGCAGTCGATAACATGGGAGTCCAGCAACATAGCCACTGCGCCAAATGCTGGTCCCTGCACACAAATCTTTTTTTTTTTTTTTTTTTGGAGAGATTTTCGCTATAGGGCGCATGCGCTCGCCAGACAGACAGAGAGAGATATAGAGACAGAAAGCGAGAAATCACCCCCCAGGGGGGATGGTCACGCCGCAATCCCTTCTCCTCCATTCTCTTCTTGGGATCTTGAGCATGCACACACACGCGCCCGGCATGAGTTTTAAGCCACCGGGTCCAGGACGTGAACCGCGGTCGACTACGTGGGAGTCCAGCGACATAGCCATTACGCTAACTGTTGGTTCCCCCTGCACACAAATCTTTTAAGTCCTACCAACCACTAAGATCCTGCCTACCATCAAATTATCCCAGAGCTAGTTTCCCAAGCCCCACCTACAGCCTCCCAAGGCCAAACCCACTAGGCTCCTTCTGCATTTTACAGCTGAAAAATCTAATTCCCATCCACATTCTACCAAGTCTCCCTCCAGATGCTCCCAAACCAGCATCCATCACCAAACAAGCCCCCACTGCTTTTCAAAGGGCCACATACACAAGGACATTCCCACGCCTTACCAAGCTTTCCTTCAGCTTTCATCCTGGGCTAAGAATCTTCCCAATGTTCCTTCATTCACCTTTTCCACTCAGCAAATACCTCCTTTTCAATGTTCAAGTTGCTTATCTCTAACATTTGCTAGGTATCGGGTACTAAACTGAACAGAAAATGATACCACCTCTTACCCGCACTACGGTCTTCCAAGTGGCAGGTATCACCACATGCCTTGTTTAGATGAGGAAACTTTTACTCAGAGAGGTGAAATGGCTTGTCTGAAGCCACACACTGGTTCATGATATGGCCAAGCCTCATCCAGAAGTCCTTCCCCTCTCCCTAAGAGGACAACAGCCTTCCCTGCCTTACTCGAGCCCTGAGGTCCCCAAACCCCCAGGAGGGCCTCCATGCACCTGCCACGTTCTTCTGCAAGGCTGTATTCTCTGCTTGTAATCTCAGCAGCTCCCCATCCACAAGGGGCTCAGCTTGGGCAGACCCAGCTCCAGCAGTCCCGTCCTTCAGTTGCTGGTTCTCCTGCTCCAGCTGTTCTATCTGGCTGCAGAGCTGAGCAGGGGAAGAGAAGTAACAGTGAAGCAGAGAAGCAGAACAATATTCTCTGACCCATAATTAGCACTTGACTGTCACTTCCTTTTTTTTTTTTTTTTTCTAGGTTTTTTCTATAGGGTGCATATGCTTGCCAGAAAGACAGAGAGAGACAGAGAGATAGAAAGTGAAAAATCACCCCCAAGGGGAGATTGGTCACACCACAATCCCTTCTCCTACATTCTCCTCTCAGGATCTTGGGCACGCACGCACATATGCCAGGCATGAGTTTAAGCCACTGGGTCCAGGACTCAAACCACGGTCAACTACATGGGAGTCCAGCGACATAGCCATTACACTAACTGCCGGTCCCCCAGATGTCACTTTTAAACTAGCATCCTTCAATATAGATTTCAGTATTAATGTAGCACTCTGCTCATTTCTCTCACCAAGCATTAATTGCAATTAAATTCTGTTTTGTAACATAGGGTCACAAGCAGATCCTGAAACCAGATTGCTTGGGTGTGAATTTCTACTCTGCCATTTATTAGCCATGTGACTGTGGGACAAACTGCTTTTGCTCCCTAGGACTGTTTTCCTCATCTATTAAGCAGGGATACTAATAATAACTCATAGGCTTGGTACAAGGATTAAAGGAGTGAATAAAATAAGAGTACTTCAAATACGGGACCAGTAGGTGGCATAATGGTTATGTTGCTAGACTCCCACGTAGTTGACTGAGGTTTGAATCCTAGACCCAATGGCTTAAAGGCTTAAAACTCATGCTAGGTTTGTGTGTGTGCATGCCCACAATCCCAAGAGGAGACTGGAGGAGAAGAGATGGTGGCACGGCCATTTCCCCTGGGGGCTGAATTCTTGCTTTCTGTCTCTCTGTCTCTCTCTGTGTCTCTGGCAAGCACATGTGCCCTATAGCAAAAACCTCTTTCTAGGACCTGGCAAATAATAAGTATAAATGTCAGCTATTACTGTTATTATCACTTTTTCTTTATTATCTTTTTCCTCATCCGACTCCCAGAATGTAAACTACCTAAGAGTAGGGACCAGCCTGTGCTGCTCAGAACTATATTTCTAGAACATACAGCACATAGTAGGTACTTAATAACTATATGTTAAAGGAACAACTGAACTGAACTGTCTAGGCAAACAAGGGGTGGACGTAGGCTTTGAACCCAGGTGGGCACATTCGGTTCCTGGGAGAAGGAAAGGGACTAGGAAGGTCTCTACACCTGGCCCAATGACTGGCTCAGAGCAAGTGCATGGAAACACAAGCCAGATTTAGGGAAGAACGCCTGCCCTTGCCTCACCCCCAAGAACCAAGATACCCTGGGAGCTGAGGCAGGAAGCAGTAAGAAGTGAGGTGGTGAGGCGAGCAGTTACGTATGTACCATTGGCTCTGAACTGGGTGTTAGTGGGGGACCTACTGGAAGGTGCTGTTTAAAGGAGTGATGTAAGACCTCTGTGGAGTGGACTGGTAGAGGAAGCTAGAAGCGAGGAGACCAGGGAGGAGGCTGTGGCAACACAGCAGGAGAGCAGTACTGAGGGCTAGGGCAAGACAGATTCATAGGATAGTCATAAAACTATTTTTTTTTTTTGGCCATAGGGTGCATGTGTTCACCAGAGAGAAAGAGAGAGAGAGAAAGAAAGAAATCATCCCCTAGGGGCGATAGCCACACTACAATCCCTTTTCCTCCATTTTCCTCTCAGGATTTTGGACATGTACACACAAACACACACCTGGTATTTTTTTTTTTTTGAGAGATTTTCACTGTAGGGCGCGTGCGCTCGCCAGACAGACAGAGAGAGACATAGAGACAGAAAGCAAGAAATCACCCCCCAGGGGGGATGGTCACGCCGCAATCCCTTCTCCTCCATTCTCCTCTTGGGATCTTGGGCACGCACGCACACGTGCCCGGCGTGAGTTTTAAGCCACCGGGTCCGGGACACGAACCGCGGTCGACTACGTGGGAGTCCAGCGACATAGCCATTACGCTAACTGCTGGTTCCCACACCTGGTATGTTTTTCAAGCTGCTGCCAGGTCCAAGATTCAAACCACGCACTTTACCATGTGGGATCCAGCACTCTGACCACCATGCCAACTGTAGGTCCTCATAAAACTTTTAAATAAAAGTCTAGAAATACTTTAGGGCCAACCACATGGTGCAGTGATGAAGTGCCAGGCATAGGGAGCTGGATCCCACATGACCAATAGTGGTTCGCGTCCTGGCCCCAACAACTTGAAAAACATGCCAAGTGTGTGTGCAGTGTGACCCAAATCCTGATGGGATGGAGGCATGGAGGAAAAAGGATTGCAGCATGCCCATACCCTATTGGAGGCTGCTTTCTCTTTCTCTTTCAATCTTTCTCCCTCTTGCAGGCAGGCAAACGCCCTCTGGCAATACTTTTCTTAAAATTATTTTTAAGGAGAAAATGAATTAACATAATATCAGTGACTGACACTTCCATAGCTGCTATGCACAGGCTCTGTTCTAAATTACTTACATACATTTCTCCATTCAGCCCTCACAAAAGTCCCATGAAAAAGGCATCACTACTCTTTTTTTGGGGGGAGGGGCATGATTATCACAATCACTTTTTTTTTTTAAGAGGTTTTTGCCTTAGGGTGCATGTGTTTGCTGGAGAGAGAGAAAGACAGATAGTGAGAGGGAAAGTGATAAATCACCCCCCAGGGGGATGATCATGCTGCAATCCTTCCTTCTCCCCGGATCTCAGGCATGCATACACATGCGCCTGGCGTGAGTTTCAAGCAACCAGGTCCAGGACTTGAGCCTCAGCCGGACATGTAGAAGTTCAACAATGTAACTACCACATCATCTGCTGGCCCCAGCGTGATTATCATCATTTCTATTTTAAACATTTGGGAACCAAGAAGCAGGTAGGTTAAGTGACTTGTTCAAAGATACAGTTAGTAAAAGCTAGACCCAAGATTTTAACCCAGGCCTTCTGGCTCCAGAAACCCTGTTTTAACTACTACTTGCTAAACTACATGTCCTGGTATTGTATCTGCTAAAGAGTTTCTTTGTTTTGTTTTAAGAACTTCTGCACTATTCCCATGAAAAGCCTTGGGAATACCATTTTTTTAAAGAGAGATTCTGCTATAGGGAGTATGTATTCACTGGAGAGTCAGAGAGACAGAAAGTGAAAAATCAACCCCCAGGGGGATAGTCACACCACAACCCCTTCTCCATTCTCTTCTCGGGATTTTAGGCAGGTATGCACACATGCCCAGTGTGAGTTTGAAGCCTCCCAGTCCAGGACTTCAACTATGGTCAGCCATGTGAGAGTCCAGTGACATAACCATTATGCCACCTGCTGGTCCTGGAAATACCATTTTTTGCTGTCATGAAACTTTTTCCCTTAAAACACACTAAAAACTTAGAAAATTATTAACCATGGGTACAGAAAATAGATAAGAAAATAAAAGGCAATGTGGAAACTGCCCAGTAGGTTCAGAAACAGCCAGGACACTAAATTAGTGAGGAGGTTGAATTAGCTAATCCAGAAGGAACTATCTAGAAGTAGAATTCTAGGATCATGTAAGATGAAGAGAAGGAAGAAAAAAAGGAAGCAGCCCAAACATCTTTCCATCCCATAAAAAGTATAAGAACTTCACCTAAAACTCCCCAACATCCTGGGCTTCCATAGCATCAGCCCCAAATTAAGCACATGGAGACTTGAAGTTCAAAGAAAAAGAGTGACTTGGCCAGGAACCAGGTGATCTCAGGACTCGAAGCCCTCTAATCCCAGCATAGTGAGTAGCCCTATCTGTCAAACTGCCCCTCAGCAGCAAACCAGGGCCTGTTTCAGCACCACGGACAGTGCTTTTAGGGCCAGACCCTGTCCAACCACCCTTGTGCTGTCAGTTTCAGGAAGGTGGAGTTCCCCTCCCCCACCCCCCGCCATCCCTGGCACGGGTACCTTGCTGAACTCAGCCATAAGTGTGCTGTTTTGCAACCGGAAGTCCTCTTCTTGGCTGTGTAGCTTTGCCTGTAGCATCTCATTTTCACTTAGCAGTACCTCAACTTCCTGCAGTAACAGATGTGAGCCAGGACTCCAACAGTGGCAGAATGGATGGGAAGTTGGGGCAAAGAAATGGAGAAAATGACATGGGGCAGGGCACAGGATACAGAGAATGAGGCAATAATACAGAAAGAGAGAGACACCCAGGGAGTAGGAGAGCAAGCCATGGCATAGTAGTGAGAAAAGACAGGGAGGGAGAGTGGGGAAAGGGAGGGGAAGATAATGATAGGGGAGGTGAAAGACAGAGATGGGGAAAGGGGGAAAGAGAGAAGGAGAAAGGAGTCAGGAGGGAGAGGAAAAAAAAGGCAGGAAGACAGAGATAGGAACAAAGAGAAATCAAGTGGGAAGGAAGAGAACAGAGAAAGGAGAGGGAATTAAGGAAAGAAATGAATGAGGAAGAGATGGAACAGGAGAGAAACAAGGAGTTAAAGGAAGAAAATGCAGGAAATAAAAATAGACAGCGAAGGCAGGAGAGAAAGAGAGGTTCAGGAGAGAATTAAGAGAGAGAAAGGAACAGAAAGAGGCTCAGAGAAAAAGAAATACACAGAGAAGAGGAACATGAGACAAACACAGGAAAACAAAGGCAGACACAAAAACGCAAAGCAGTGAGGTAGCTGCAGATGCAAGGGCACAAAGAAGGAAAGCCCAGTACAAGGAGATCCCAACATACAGCACATCCTTACTAAGGTGCAGTCTCCCAGACACATTCACCCACCAAAGGTCCCCTTACCTGAGCCTTCTTGCTCTTGCTCAGTGCCTAAAGGGGAGGGGGCAGTGGGAAGAGAACTAAAGTGAATAGATAGAACCCCTCACTAGGGTATGGACACAAATGCAGCAAGTTAGGAGAGAACAATAATAATAGGGGTTGTGGGATGGGAGTGTTCTCAGCCACAGAACTTGCAGGAATCATGAAATGAGTGAGTGAGTGAGTGAGTGAAAGAGAATCCTGCCTTGGTGCCTCAGCACACAAAAATCATCTTTTCCCCTAAGCTCTTGAGGCTAGTCTTTATAGGCTGGATCTTCACGTTCAAGGATTGTGGCTTCACTGCTACAACTGTCCAAACACATCTATATGGCTCCCTCCCTGTAACACAGCAACTGCCATCCATTCCCTAAGCAGCTAAGGGTACTGTCAGGTTTGAGGAATCACCACCCTACCAAAGAGAAGCCCAGCTTCCTGATTGTTACTTTCTGTATTCTGTATTCCTTCATCCAATAAATATTTATTGAGCACATATTGTATATGACATTGCACTATGCATGGGGACAAAGCAGCAAAGAAGGAACAAACAAGAATCTCAACTGTTTTGAGAGGCCATAACAGTTATATCCTAGCTCATCTTTAGAGGAGCTGAGAGGTTTGGTTGCACTTTACCAACAGGACCAGGACAGGGATGAGAAGAACACAAGGTAGCAATCTGAGTGGAGGATGGGTGGCAGAGTGAAGGCAGGTTTACTGATAGACTTCACTATTTAATTAACAGGAAGTGGATGAGAATGAGTAAATAATTGAAACTATAAATGGATTAAGAGAAAAATCAATTTAATCAATACATTAAGCAATGAGCAAAGACAATTCCATGAGGATTCTTTAAATGACTACATAAAAACACAAATGTAACATTAGGTCTAATTCACTATAGGTGCTTACTGGGTAGAGGAATGAGTCAGATGGGTAGAAGGAAGCATGCGTGGGTGGGTGGGTGGAAGGAGATACCTTCTGAGCTTTGCTGAACTCCTTATCCAGATATGCGACCTTCTGTCGAAGACTGGTGAGTTCTGGCATAGGGAAAACAGGGAATCTTGCCTTAGGCAGTGGCAAAAAGCAGAATGGTTTTCCTGCCAGATCTCTGAGGGAAAACCTTGGTTTCTATTCCCTCAATGCCCCCATCTAACACCCCTCTTGGCTCACCAACACCATTTTTGCGTAGCTCATCTGAAAGTTGGTAGTTGTTGGTCCGCAATTCCAGGAGCTGAGCCTTTGAGGGAAGGGAGAAAAAAAGACTCGATCAGGAAAGTACTCCTTCTTTACCCAGGAGGAAACCAAGCCCCTGAGGCCCCATTATACCGCATGGCCTCCACAGGCCTCTTCAGCCACTCCTTAAATGCTATGCATGCTATGTCCTAAATGACCTTCCAGTCCCCCATCCCACTTTTTCTAGCTCAACTTAGAATCTTAGCAGCCATATCCCTCCATCTCCCCTCTCCAATCCACTCTGCACTCAGGCCATCACAGAGCACTGGCCCAGTTAGGGTCATGTTCATATGTGTCCTGTGGTTCTCCATGCCCACGAAGGATAAAGTTCCTCCTCCTCCTCTTGGCTGACCTCTTCACACACTGAACACTATAAAGGTGAGTGTTGTCCATTCTCTTGGCTAGAACTGGAGGCTCCTGAGGACAGGGGGCAGGGGCTTACCTCCCTCCCTCTTTCCAAAGGGAAGTGTATATGATATTCTCCTGAGTCAAGGGGCTACTCAGGGTTCACCCCAACCCCAAAGCTCTCAAAACATGTCCAGGCCCCCTTCAAGAATTAAGTGAAAGTATAGACCATTCTAAATAGCACCCTCATCCCTACCAGCCCAGTAGGGCCCTGGCATCTGTTCTCTCCAAACCTAATCACTGTCCTTTACCTTCCAGGACCTTTTCCTTCCTCCCATGGAACCAGCTTCCCTCTGCTCCCCAACCCTCAAGGTCTGCCCAGGTCAGAGGGCTTGGTCTGGAGAGAATCTTTCCTGCCCTGGTCCTCGCCAGGACCCAGTGATCTGTCTCTCCCAGTCCTGGTCCTATTGGTACATTCTTAGCACCCTCTTAAGAGTCCCTCCCCAAGAGAACCCAATAGTATTCCCTTGCTCATGGCCCACTGAGCTCAATCTTTCTTACTCAAGGGTCCTCCTACTCCACTTAAGATCTTCCTGGTCATGATCTAATGAGATGGCCCTACACCCTCTGAGTCTCTCCTTTTTAAGGCTTTGGGTGGGCCACTTGGATTACTCTTACTCAGAATCCCCCCACATAGGTAACAGTGGTCTTCCCCATTCATGATCCAATGATCTCACTCTGCCATCCTCAGTGTCCCTCATAATGAGGAACAGCTGGTCTCCCTTATTCAAGGACCATAGGATACCTGTCCTCACTCATAGTTCTTCCCTTCCCCTCACCCAAGACCCTACTCAGGGTTCCCCTTTTCAGAATCTCCTGCCACACAAAACCCAATGGTCTCCCACAATGAGGAACTCTCTCATCAAGAGCCTGTTTACTGCACAATGTTCTGGCCTTTCATTCCATCTCACAGTCCCCACCCCCAAAAGAACCAAGGGGTCGGAGTACTCAGCTAAGGTACTTCCTAAAAGTCCAGTGACCTCCCCTCCATGCAGTCAGTTTCATCTCCTCTGGCCCTACCCCCAACACAATGGTATTACCCTTTCAGGGCCTTCTTCACCCTAGGCCTAATGGGATCACCCCTAATCAGCCCATCATAGTGCCCCCTTTTAGGATTCATTACCGACCCCACAGAATCTCCACTTCCCAGGAATGATGACAACATCTGGAATCTTTGCCCAACCCCCTGGCATAGTGGTAGCTGCCACAAATCTTCCACCCCCACAGACTAATGGTATTGCCCTTTCAAGGGCTCCCCCCACCGTGACGCAAAACGGCCCAATGCTGGCTTCCTTCCTCTCCATACAAAATGGTTTCGCCCTCTCAAGAGCTCCTTGCCTCAAAAACCAATATTATTATCACCCACTGAAGGTGTCCCCCAAGCCCCAGAGTCTCGCTCCCTACAGGTCAGGGTAAGGTATCGCCTACTTAAGGAAGCCCTCCCCCGCCCACAAGGCTAACAAAATCCGACCTTCGGTGCTCAATAGTATCTCGGAATCCAACAGTCTCACCACTCAGAACCTCAGTTTCCCTTCTCCAGACCAACCTCCTCAGACTCGGGGTCCATCCCAACCAACTCCTCAGAATGGATGGCATGACCCCTCTCTACCCCACCCCCAGTCGCCTAGCTAGGTGGTCTTTCCCTCGGTGAGCGGCACCTGCATCCGCTGAAACTCCTCCTCGGACAGAGCTTGCGCCATGTTCCTCCCCCCTCCCCCCGCCAGCTTTCTGCGCAGCCGCAGCGCGTGCCTTCTGTCAATATTACGGTTGGGCTAAACCACTGGCCAGAAATGGAGGGGGAGGGACGTAATTCGGGAGTTCAGAATTTTAGAGACAGGGAGACGAGAACGAAACTGCCAGATCGAGTGAATCGGTAGGTACTGTCGTATTAAAATATATGTCATCCGTTCTGACTTTTACGTTCTTATAAACTAGCCATTGTGGTGCGACATTATGGCATCCCTGTCTTATGGGTGAACTCGTCTCTAGGGAAGTGTTGGCCGACAGAAAATCAACCTTCCGCGGTACTCCTTTAATAATAATGGTTGACTTAATAACCATAGAAATGAAAGCGGAAGCTCTGCTTTGCTCTGGTTCCCGCCCTCTCCCGGTGACCCCAAAGGGGAATCCCGCCCCCTGCGAAGCCCTTGGCCTTTCATTTTTAAAAGATTTAACACTGATATTGTTAGCATGATGCTGTACGTCATGTTAGATAAAGGATCTAGCCGTCAATAAATTTAAAATACCTGAGAGGAAAGGATGTCAGTGAATGAAATGAAAAGCTTCATTAAAAAAAAAAAAAAACAAACCTAGGATGATGAAACACCAGGGACATTCAAATAAGTATTAAAATGCATTATAATCCTCACTGATCTGAGAGTAAGAAGTGGTATTTTTTAAAATAATTATTTTATTTAACCTCATTTACTAATTTATTTCTTTTTAAATTTGACCAGAGAGGGCCAGAGCGAGAGAGAATGAGCGAGAGCGAGAGCGAGAGCGAGAGCGAGAGGCCAGCAGTTGGCGTAATGGCTATGTCGCTGGATTCCCACATAGTCGACCGTGGTTCACGTCCTGGGCCTAGTGGTTTAAACTCACACCGGGTGCGTGTGCGTGCGTGTGCGTGCCCAAGATCCCAAGAGGAGAATGGAGGAGAAGGGATTGCAGCGTGGCCATCCGCCCTGGGGGGTGATTTCTTGCTTTCTGTCTCTCTGTCTCTCTCTGTCTGGTGAGCACACGCGCCCTATAGCAAAAACCTCTCCAAAAAAAGAGAGAGAGAGAAAGTGAGAAAGCAAATCTCAGGTCTGGGACTCAAACTTTGGTCGGCCATGTGGGAGTCCAGAGCCCTTAATCACCATGCCACCTGCCGGCCCAAGAAGTGGTATTTTGGTGTGTGTGTGTTTTTTTTTCCTTCTAGTTTTTTAAAGGTTTATGCCATAGGGCATGTGCACTCGCCAGAGAGAGACAGTGAAAGGAAAAGTGAGAAATCGCCCCCAAATGGGGATGGTCACCTACAGTCTCTATTCTCCTCCTGGGATTTTGGGCATGCATGCACAACCACCCTTGGAGACATGAATCATGGGGGACCATATGGGACTCCATGGCTGTAACCACTGCTCTACCTGCTGGCTCCTCTTTTAATTTTTAAAAAATAATTATTTATTTTATTTTAAAAATTTGCTATAGAGCACATGTGATCACTAGAGAGATAGAGAGAGAGAGAGAATGGGAAAGTGAGAAAGCAAGCTGCCAGGTCTACGACTTGAACCATGGTCAGCCACGTGGGAGTCCAGTGCCTTAACCACTATTCTACCTGCTGGCCCTTTCTTCTACTTTTTATAGGAGTAAATAATTTTTTTGGAGAGGTTTTTGCTATAGGGCACGTGCACTTGCCAGAAAGACAGAGAGAGACAGAAAACGAGAAATCACCCCCCCAGGGGGGATGACCACGCCACAATCTCTTCTCCATTCTCCTCTCGGGATCTTGGGAACACATGCACACGTGCCCGGCGTGAGTTTCAAGCCACCGAGTCTGGGACGCGAACCACAGTCGACTACATGGGAGTCCAGTGACATAGCCATTACGCTAAATGCTGGTCCCAGGAGTAAATAATTTGCTGCTGTGGGAAAATATCTTCAATGAGGGCTTTTACTTTTACAATTTTTTTCCCTTTAGTTTCTAATATAGGTGGGTATACTCACCAGAGAGAGAGAGAGAGAATGAGAAATCACCCCGCAGGGATGGCCACGAGGCAATTCCTTCTCCTCTATGGATTTTGGGAATGCATGCACACAGGCCTGGTGTGATTTCCAAGCTGCTGGATCTGGACTTGACCTGGGCAGTCAGGCATGTGGGATCCAACCACCTTAACTTCCATGCCACTTGCTGGCCCTTCCTTCATAATTTCATGAACTTTATTGAGATACATTATCTATCTGTTTATCTAAATGCACCCATTTTAATGTACAGTTCAGTGCATTTTGACAAATGTCTACAACCTTGTCACCACCACCACAATCAAGACACAAAACATTTCATCACCCCCAAAATGTTCCTTGTGCCCCATCCTAAACCCCTTCCTCCCACCCTAGATGACCAGTGATTGTCTTCCTGTCACATAGATTACATTTGTCTTTTGTAGACTTTCTTACAAATGGAATGAGGTGATATGTACTCTTATGTTTGGTTTCTTCAGCATAATACTTTTGAGTTTTCTCAAAGTTGTTGTATGTGTCAGTACTTTATCTTTTTACTGATGAATAGAATTCCATAGTATGGATATACCAAAATTTGTTTATCCATTCTTAATGTAGCATTTTTTTTAGAATTATTTACTTAATTAATTTTATTTATTATTGCTATTATTATTTTTAATTTCCTATAGGGCATGTGCATTCACTCAGAAGAGACAGAGAGGGAGAGAATGAGAACATGAGAAAGCAAGCTGACAGGTCCAGGACTCAAACCGGAGTTGCCATGTGGGAGTCCAGTGCTTTAAACACCACGCCACCTGCTGGCCTGTCTCTCAGTATAGTTTTAATTTGTGTTTTTCTTCTTTTTGGTTTTTTTTTTGAGAGGTTTTCGCTATAGGGGGTGTGTGCTCTCCAGACAGACAGAGAGAGAGACATAGAGACAGAAAGCGAGAAATCACCCTCCAGGGGGGATGGTCACGCCACAATCCCTTCTCCTCCATTCTCCTCTCGGGATCTTGGGCACACACGCCCACGCGCCCAGCGTGAGCTTTAAGCCATCAGGTCAGGGACACGAACCACGGTTGACTACGGGGGAGTCCAGCGATACAGCCATTACGCTAACTGCTGGTTCCCTGTGTTTTTCTTCTTATAAGTGAGATTGTACATCTTTTCATATGATTGAAGACCATTTCAGTATCTTTCTTTTTTTGCCTGAAGGTGTGTGGACTCATCAATGGTTTATTTTCTGTCCATGATAACGTGTATAGCATTCTCAACTGGACTGATCTGAGATGGATTTCATGTTGGGTAAATTCTCTTTACAAGCCAAATGATGTATAGCGATTGAATGTTTAAAAAAATAAGAATAATAAAAATAAAATAATAAAAAAAAGAGAGAGAAAGGCAAGGCAAGGGAGCAGGAGGAAGCATCCTTCCAATTGGGCATGATCACACTACAATCCCTTCTTTATTTTTCCATCTTGTTGGGACATTGGGCACACATACACATATGTCTAGCATTTGAATAGTGGTCAGTCTAGTTGGGATCCAGCTCCCTTATCTACTGCATCATAGGACAGCCCAATATCTTTTTTTTGGGGGGGGAGGGAGAGATTTTTGCTATAGGGTGCATATTCTCACCAGAGAGACAGAGACAGAAAGCAAGAAATGACCCCTCTAGTGGAATGGCCACATCGCAATCTCTTCTCCATTCTCCTCTCGGGATTTTGGGCAAGCATGCCCAAAATATATATTCAGGATTCAAACTGCAGTTGACCACACAGCACCTTAACCACCACACCACGTGCTGGCCTCCTCGTATACATTTTTAAAGTTTATTTATTTCATTCATGAATGAATGAGGGAGACAGCAAGAGAGAGAACCCCAAACAGGAGTCCTTCCCCCCCCCTTTGGAGAGGTTTTTCCTATAGGGCACGTGCACTCACCAGAAACACAGAGAGACAGAAAGCGAGAAATCCCCCCCCTCCCCCCAGGGAGGATGGCCATGCCACAATCCCTTCTCCTCCATTCTCCTCTCAGGATCTTGGGCACACATGCACATGCATCCGGCGTGAGTTTAAGTCACTGGTTCCAAGACTCAAACCACTGTCGACTACATGGGAGTCCAACGACATAGCCATTACGTCAACTGCTAGTCCCATGGAGTCTTGACATCCCGATAAGACTCTAGTTCACAGCCAACCCTGGTTCATGGGCATGTTAAGTGCTCTGCTTATGCAGGGAGATCTCCAGACTTGAACCAGGAATCTTTCCGTGTGAGATCATCTTGCAGATGATTGTCTTTTACCACTGTGCCATCTGTCTCCACCATCTGTATGTATTTTAAGATAAACATGAATTCATGCTGATAATCCGATAGCGCATGTCTCATTCTAGCTTTCCTTTCTTCTTCATGTGTAGCCTCCCACTCCAACAGTGAGAAAATACCTCCAGCCATCGACCAACTATTTACTTCATCATCCAATCCCAGTATACAGGTAGAGTAATAACAAAATTGTTAACTCATATGCCCTATTTGGTAAAAGACTTTACCAAATAAAGTTAAATGCTTTTATACAATTTCTTTTTTTTTTTTTTCAGTCTTGTAGTTTCCAGTTACAATATCCTTTTCCAGGGCCAACAGGTGGTGTGGAGAGTTTAAGGCAACTGGAACTCACATGGTCAACTACTTGGTTCTAGTAGTCCAAGACCCAATGGCTTGAAAATCACCCCAGATGCATGTGCATATGTGCCTAAAATTCACAGAACAGAAGGAGGAGAAGAGATTGTGGTGTGCCCATCCCCGTGGGGGATGATTTTTCATTTTTCCTCTCCCTCTCTCTCTCTCTCTCTTTCTGTCTCTTTCCAGTGAGCACATGTGCCCTGTAGCAAAAAATAAAAGGACTTAGGTCACTCACTTCAGAGAGGTTATAGCATATATTTGTAATGCAGTTTGATTATGTTGCCACAGTTTACATTCGCTACTGGATTCTTTTTTTTTTCTTCTTTTTAAAATTTGTTTTATT